TAGATAAATAGAACATTAGAACTATAGATAAATGGAATGATAGATAGAATGATAGAACGATAGATAGATAGATAGATAGATAGATTTGCAACTTGTCTTTAACATTTTCCTCTTCCACATCTACAAAAAAAAGGATATGACAAATCATGGAAGTTGTGGAATACATTCTTTGTGTTTGAACAAAAACACGTTCTCCTCCCCATTGTCCCGTTCACTTCTTCAGACAGACCTTTCCTGACCTCAGTTATTAGCAAATACAAATTCCAACCCTCAAAACCCCATAAGCCTCTATATACGCTCTGACAATAACCCAGCCTCACACACACTCAGGCCACGGCTCCATTATAAAGACCCTATGGACCCTCCTCCTGAGTCCTTAACACTCAAAAAGCGGCTTCTCTGGTTTTCTTTTTCTTTTTTTTCTCTCCTGTCTATCCCATTCTTCCTCCCTCATGTGCATCTTGCTGTGCTGAAGGTATGGCCTTTTGAAGTACGCTGTGCTCTAATTGGACAAAAATGTAGTGTGGGGCTAGCTGGGTCATTATTACCCACGCTGACCCCCTTGATAGTGGCAAGTCGGCATGTCGTTAAGGGAACCTGCCGTTCCCACGATGATGGGAGCCGTAGTGCTAGGGGTCTGGATTCCGTTAGCTTGGCCCGTAAAAATCAAGGCCCATTTTAATCAAAGCATGGAGGGGTCAGTCCTGGCCGTCCAATTACAACACCAGATGTTGAACAAGGGTCACCCTGACCAGCTCATTTGGCTTGTTTTGGTGCACAGATATTGAGAGGGGCCGCTTCTGTTTGGGCTGTTTGTGATTTTGCCACACATGGGCAAATTGGGTTCATTTTGGATCTATTATGTGGTTAAAGACTTGGCAAAAAAAAAGAATATTCGCAAGATCACCACTGACTGCCCCAGGGAAAGGCGGTTTAGAATCTGTCAATCAATTATGAAGTCAGATGGGACACAGTCAGTCTCTTCAAGCAAGTCAGTTCACTTGATGGCCATCTTGGAAATACCCTCAGGCAGTTATTTTCTATGTACATAATATGCATACATGTGTCACGGTTCTGTTTAGTTAGTTTCATCATCATGGACTATTAGTTTTGTTTTCATGGACTTGTCATTGGTTTTCTTCAGTCACATGTCTTCCTTTGTTCAGTTTTCCCGCCACTCTTTAGCTGTCATGGTAATTCATTTAATCTACTCAGGTGTTCATCGTTATTGCCCTTATTTGTCTTGTATTTAAGTTGCTGCTGTTTGACCTTTCATTTGTCTGGTATTGCCTGTGTTGTACACAGCTGTCATTTTAACATTGCATTTAAAACATTTTAAATAAGTTAAAATAAAACGTTTGAAAAATAATACATTATTTTTAAAAGTTTATCTGGGCGGAAACTACATTTTTACTTCAGACCTCACATGCGTTTTCTTCGTCAGTTGCGGCGAGTTCAAAAATGACCATGCGAAAGACGAGAAGGTGGGGGATTATTTTGAATTAGAAGGAAACAGAAAAGTTTTGAGTAAATGTCAAATTGTCTTACAATAACTCTACTGGAGCGATGCGTAATCATATTCAATACAGGCACGTAGGCGTTAGCTTAGAGGCTGGCCAAAGTCAGTAAATGTCAATCACGTCATTCACTGCAACCCGCCGGCGCTGTGATCCCGTCCGCGCTGTCTATTCCTCTAACGAAGACCCACTTCGGTGCTGGTGCGGGATGTCCAGGCACTTTCTGAAACTCTATCGGCTTGCTTTTTATTATCTCTGCGTGCCTGCGACTTCAGTTCCTGCCGAGCACGTTTTTTCAAGTGCAGGAATTTTATTGTTAATCGCCTCAGGTCCCGTCTTTCACCAGACCACGTTGATAATTTCACTGAACAAATAACGCATGGTCTGAGTAAGTAAAATGGGCATTGTTGCATTATTTTTGTTTTTAGACGATATAACCTACACGAAGTACGTTTTTAAAAGCCGTTTTAATGCTATCTCTTGATAAACCTTCCTATTGTTTTCGACTTGTGTTTTAATATGTTGGCTAACGTTATATGAAGATTAAGAATTCTGTCAGGCTATTGATTGATTTTCCATTGTTCTGCATTTCCCCAGCTGATTTGAATAAATAAGCTATGCTTTGGCCGACGTTAGTGTATACTCTTCTTTTTTTTATTTTTAACGACTGCCTAAAATGAAATGATGATAACGCGAGGCAAGTGTGCGGCAAGCGAATTCATTGAGGGATTTGACAGTGTGATTCATAGATTAAGTATTTCAAATATAGGCTATGCTACACGCACGCACAGAGGTTTTTTTCTTTTTTGGGGGTTTCTTGCTTTTAGACTAGTCGGATACAAAACTTTCGTTTAAACGACAGTCAAATTAGTCGTCGCGCACATCCCTAGTCAGAAGTGGTGCGAATGCTTGTATGTCAGAGAATAGATCGGGACATCAGTTTACTGTCTGGGATTTGTTGTGTCAATCCGTGCCGCATCCAGTGTAAACAGAATCGCCGATTACAATGGGTTCTGTTGTCTATAGTCGGGTTGCGCCGCTCGTGTACAGTGTAAACACGGGGTAAAATTAGCAAAGAGCTCCAGATTGCATCAGT